AACAGCAGAGCAAAACCCTGCCTGGTCTTTTTGCACCATCCCCTCACCTTCCGAGGCTACATCAGACAATGCTCTGCTGCTGTTCAGAAGTGGGTGGCCAGGTCCTTCTTCCCAGTCTGTCTTAATCTGGAAGCTCCGCTGAAACCTGTCCACCATGGATGACCCTGCTGGCATTTGAAATACCAGTGGCATAGCTACCAGCATCACAGAAACACACAGCTGCCACAGCACGACAACCGACAGAAGGGTGGTGTGGTTCCCTGAGCAGGACGTGAACCCGGGCCCAGTGGCACCAGATCTTGACGAGTAGACCTACAGGCTCCACAGTTCACTGTCTACATTACCACCATTTTATTATTCCCTAGCCTTCATTAGCATGGCTTTACTATTCCAGGATACTCTTGCCCAGGCAAATAACTTTATTTTTCATTATAGGAACTTCCTGAAAGACCCATCATCTCTTTAATAGAGAACATTGACAGTTTACATCTCAAGAGTCTTTGAACCTCTCCCCTCGAAATCCTCGCCTTGCTGTTCCCACCAATCCTAAGGATACCATAATCCTTAACAATCCTAGTCAGCCTTCACACTGAAAGACTCACCTTAAACCAGAATCAAAATCTCAAATTCAACTTTTTCTTTCTTCTTCCAGCATGCTACCAAAGCTCTTGCAAGGTGATGTTCTCCCTGATGGCAGCTCTGTCTTAAGAACAGATTGTTCTGGTGATAATTCGGGAGCCAGGATTCAACCACATAATGTTTAGTGAGAAAAACCAGACACAAAGGAGAATATGCTTTAGGAATCAATTTATATTAAGTTCAAGAGCAAACAAAACTAAACCATGGTGATAGAAATCAGAACCATCGTTACTACGGAACGTGTAGTGGGACGGATGCGTATTGCCTGGGAGAGGACATAAGAGAGTTTTCTGGTGCTGGAAGTGTCCTATATCTTGATCTAGATGGTGGTAACATGGTATGAACATACGTAAAAATTCATTGAGCTGTACGTTTTTGTGTGCATTTTGCTGCCTGTAAAATGTAATTTAAAAAAAGGTTAAAAAAATTCTTTTTAAGGTTAAAAATTTAATAGGTGTCCGAGATTACTGGGAGAGCTGACTGTCAAGGGATTGCCTTAAACAATACGGAGTTAGGTATTCAGAGAGACCCCAACTTGGCCACCTTGGCTTTACTTTCCAACCCTTCTGGATATCGTCCACATCTGAGATGCCAGCGTCCTTTGCAATTGGCCCTGAGCCCTGCACATGAGTCAGTGATCTTGGTACATGAGTAACAGAGAAGGGTGTGGTGAGAATTAGCAAGTGGAATGCTTCACAGAGTCCTCCCCCTGCAGAATACAACTTGGGAATACAGACGTCTCGAAACAGGCCCTCTTGGGGGACTACAGTGTTGTTCCTATGAAAACCTGGTGTGTGAAATGTTGCATAAGGGGACTCACCCCCGTTTCTCTGTTTTCAGGATTTAGCTACATTAGTTAAGATTACATGCAGAATTGTGTCACCAAAATTGGAGGAGGGGACAGTGTAGATGGCTTCTATTCTTACTATTTGTGAAATTCGCCCATGTTGTCTCATGTAGCAGTAGTTGGTTCTTTTTAATTGTTGTATAGTAGGAAAATGCGTGTATATGTGTGGTGAGTGTGTGTGTGCATGAGATATTGATTGATTGACTGATGGATTCCAGGGACTAACATGAAATCCAACTCCAGAAAGGCCTCGCGGGCTTCTTTAACTGCAGTAATTAAAATAAGTATCTAAATTGACAAAGACATGTGCACACAAAAATATTTCATGTTAAAGGGAAGGAGGAACAATTTGTAGTAGCCTAGGCTAGCTGACTGAATTTCCCTACTTGTTGAGGCACGTCGGATCATTTCCACACACCAAGCTGGGCCCAGTCCTGTAGACCCGTGCCGTTGTGAACTCTCCTCTCATCTCAGAAAAGTAAAATGAGGCACATTCAGGCTGTGACAAGAAGCCCTGACAAACGGCCACTGCTCAAAGGGCAGATATTTCATTACTTCCATTTTTAAAATGGAAAAACAGGTACATAGTTGATAGTTACAAAAATCTTATTTAGTAGCAAGACTAAGTAATACCTCGTGCTTCTATTTCCCAAACACAGGGTGGGAATTATGGCCTCCCCATAACATTTTTAGCCTGCAGTGCCTGCCTGCCTCGCCCAGCCCGTCCCTCCGCCCAATCGCAGGCACCATTAAGCTCCAGGGTTTACTCAGAGTGACTCTTCTGCTCACCCACAAGAACAATGGTTTTCTCATACACTTGGGAGTTTCTTTTAAACACTGTGGACCACTCCCTCAATGATTTTAGAACTGAATCTTTCTTTTCTGATTTTCATTTTCTTTCCAAAAGTGGTACATGTTTACTGTAGAGACTTCAATAAATATAGATAAGCAAAATGAATCGACAAAAATCACCCAGAATCTGATCCAAATTACTTTTTAGTGTATATATTTATGTTATAAATATAAATATGCATAATATTTATTGTGTTGACAATATTTTATCGAACCAGGTCCTTGTTGTTGGACATTTAGGCTCTTGCCATCTTTCTTGGTATAAACGATACTCCCAAAATTATCCCTGGAAACTGAACATCCTTGATGATTCTCTTAAAATAAATTTCTAAAAGTAAAAATATTGGGTTAAAAAGGATGTGCAGACTTTATAGATTGTTGCTTTTCAGAAAAATTGCACCAAATCCCACATCTGTTCCTACCATGGGTAAGCGTCAGAGGAAACATAATCTAAGAGATCTCACACACGTAAGTTGGAGTGAAGGTAGCATTCCATCAATTTTTTCAGATTTCAGTTCAAGAGATTTCTTTTATGCAGGTGGTTATTTATAAATTTGGTAACTATGGTAAATCAATACTCAGAGGGAACTAGCTAACCTTGAGGCCATTCAGGTGATTCAGATTCTACAGTAATTTTTATTGCTTTTACGTTGCCAGGAGATAATGAGCTGTTTCGTTTGGTACATTCCTAGAGGGAATTTCCAGCCAAATTGAGGGGTTTAGACTATTACAGACCCAGAGTGTGAGCTATAAATAGAAATGAACCGGGATAGAAGGCGATTTGTGTAAGCTATTTCCTCTGGGCGATGGCAATGTCCGGCTATTATAGAATTTCCAAACCAGGGGAAACTTTGAGTCACTCAGATTTGGGCTATGTGGGGGATGACTGAGGGTCACAGGGGTCTGGCTAAGCCCCCATGAGCGGGCGGAGAGGCTGAGTCAGTGCTGGAGGAGACGAGGCCCCAGCACCTGTACCCGGATGGCAGAGGAGGTGGAGGGGCCGAGCGGAAGCGGGGAAGCCTGGCTTTCCATGCGAGACCGACCTGGATTTGAATCTTAGGTTTGTCACTTGCTGAAAATGTGGTCTTGGGCAGATGGCTTAACCTCTCTGAGCTTTGACTCTATAAAATGGAGACAAGCGCCACCTTCTAGGGCTGTTGAGAGGTTTCATTGAATTAATATGAGTAGAAACTAAATACAGTAACTGACACATTGAAGGAACTCAATAAAGGGCTGCTATGATTACTGACGTGGCTAATAATGATTATTGCCATTTCCTTTGAGGATAGATTTAGGGGAAAAAAGGTGCTGGTGACTGATCATTATGCCTCTTTTTTGGATCCTCTCTTGCAAGGGTTCTTAACCTGGTATCCAAGAACCCCCGAGAAGCCCATGGATAGATATCTGGGAGCACGGGTGTCAAACTCAGAGGGGGAAATAAAAGTGCCATTGTTTATAGTAACCTCTAATGAAAATTTAGTATTTTCTTTATGATGCCTGCACGCAAGTCACAGTAGTATCAGCAATACCGATCATACATTAAACAACAACACAAAGTTACATATCTTTTCATGTCACATTAAAATTGTTGCAGGTACCTCAACATATCATTTCAACTGGAGTCGTATTTCAGAAGTACGATGTTCTTAGACCCCCTCATCAGACCACTGTGAGATCCCCGGGGATCGCTGTCTCCCGTCTGCAGATGTGGGTGTGATGGAGTGGGCTATCAAAACAACTATATTATAATTTTCAAAAATATTCCCATATTGATTTACTTTGTACTTATTTTATGCATTTTTAAACAGTATTCCTCGAAGGAGTCTGTAGGCTTCACCAGACTGCCAGAGGGACGGAGGCACAAAAAAGGTCCAAAGCCTTCCATCCGGAAACCACTGCCTGGCGCCTTGCACGGAGGAGGAGCTCGGCTGTCTAATGGCCGGTGAGCTTCTTTATTAACTTGCTTGTCTGTTTCCGAGGCCAAGAAACACCAAAAGCAGACAATTTCTGTAGACAGTTCCCAATAGGCCAGAGGACTCTGTCACTTGAAAGAGCCTAACTCTGTACAACAGATATAAAATATCAAGAGAGGAAATACCCCCAGAAGCCTGATGTCTGGAGCACCCAGCAGAAAGGAAAGTTACCTAACTAGGGTGATGACCCCAAGGGATGGCAGAGCAACAGCAATGCCTGGATAGCAGAGGGAGGCAGAGGAGTAGGGAGAGGATGAGGGGAGAATGTGGGATCAAGAAACCTGAAAACACAAGGCCCCTAGCAATGCGGGCTGCCCAACCTGCAGGCTGGGGAAAAAACAGGGAGAAAAGAGGAGGAACGTTAAACAAGGACAATGAAACCACACAAGAAAACAATGGTAGAGAATACTTTATTTTGTTGTATTTAAACAAGGAAGTTTTGGGGGTATTTCCTTCTGGTGTTCCTGCCCCTCCCCCTCCTCTCCCATTTTCTAACGATGCTGATCAACTGCTTTATTCCGTTCCCCATCTTTCTTCTTGACCAATTATCCAGGCCTTTGTCTTTTTAAATACATGATCCTTAGTGCTTGTCTTTGAAGGACAAAAAGATTTCCAGGTGTTAGGAAGATGTAGGACCTGGCGGTACTCCAACCAACCAGCAGCACTGCGAGTTTTGACTCATTCATTGGTCTTGGAGCATTCTCAATCAGCCCTCCCAACTTCAGGCAAGCATCTGTCTTTCACAGAACACCAAACAATTCCAAAAGGCCTCTTGTTAGAGATTCGCAGGTGTACAAATGGGAAACACCATATAAACAGTGAAAAAACACATCTTTTCAGGTTTTTGGATTTTTCTCCTTCATGGTCTTAAAAAAAGCAACTAGAAATCTGTCTTTCATTTAATAAACACATGCACATATACATATATACAACAGTAATTGGAATGTGATATTTATCCTTGTAATGCTTCTCAAAAGCATTACTTCAGGCCACAGTTTATCTCAGATATGCTGAGGACCGTCATCCAGTCTGTAAATAATCTCCAGAGTGTGGTTTATTTTCTCATCCCTAAAGAAATGTTTGTTTGCTCAGTTCAAACACTGACATCATGTGAAGATGCTAGTCTTTATACACATTTATAAAAGTAGAATATGTGGAGTATGATACACTAGTACAAAGTTTTACAAATTAATACAAGAAAAAATATATAAATTACAGTGAAATAGAGGAAGATTGTGGTTCTGTCCTGGGACGGTTCTTTTAACAGTCGTATCGCTGTAAAGAAAATGAAATATGCATTAGGCTGTGATCAGGTTAAACAAACACTGGTGATATTTCAGTCCTTTAAATCCTTGTTTTAAGCAAACATAGAGCAGAGTGATCTCATCTTCAGAAGAGCTTTGGGCAACAACACAGAGAGCTTACACAGTGCTCCCGAAATGTTTCCTAAACAAGCCAGATCCGTTGTCCTTCCTGAGTAAAAGCTGCAGAAAGGGGCCATGGAAACTGCG